GGCACTCTACCCAGGGGGACAGCTTGAGGCTCTGTCTCAAAAAAAAAAAAAAAAAAGACTCAAGTCCTTACCCTCAGATAGTTTAGTCTCCCTGTGGAGAAGGACAGGAAGAGAAGACAGTATGAAGTCACAGATTTTAAGTGCAGTGACCTACACAGCACAGGTTGCATAAAGGAGTAGTATTTAGGGCTGGGAAGTAAGGGGAGGCTTCTCTAAGGATGTAAACCGTGTGATGATCCAAGAATATGGAGGATTTCGATAGAGAGGGAGATCAGGATTCTAGGCAGAGGAAAAAGCAAAGGCACAGAAGCCCGGCATGTTGGTGGGAACTCTACATAGTGTGGGATGGTAGGTGATTCAATCAGCGTTTAAGGAGAAAAGCAAACCTAGTATGATTAATAAGGGATTTATTACAGTATTCAGACTTACGTAATTAAGAGGCTGGTGCTTATGAGTCAAAGATGGTTGTAAAGTGGGAGAAACAAGGAAAATCCAGAATTTGCAAACTACCCTTGTGGCTTTTCAATCATCTTTAAGCTTCCAAATTCAACAATGAGAATGAAATATAGAAAAAGCCAATGCCAGGCACTCTGGGACGCTGAGGAGGGAGGATCACTTGAGGCCAGGAGTTTGAGACCAGCCTGAGAAAGAGTGAGACCTTGTTCCCCACCAAAATAGAAAAATTAGCCAGCTATAGTGGCATACACCTGTAGTCCTAACTACACAGGAGCCAGGAAGATTGCTGGAGTTCAGGAGTTTGAGGCTGCAGTGAGCTCTGATGATACCATTGCACTCTAGCCCAGGCGACAGCAAGACAAAAGAATGAAAGAAGAAAAAAGAAAAGAAAAGCCAATGCCCTTCCTTCTGGAGCTGGTGTGGAGTCAGAGAAGATGAAGGAGAAATTTCAGCAGCCATAGTAGCCATATTCCTGATTGCTGCCCATGCTAACAAAATGGGCCAGCAGACAGGCAAAACTGCAGCAACAGTGCCTTCCAAGTTTAAGAATTTAGCTGCTAGGCCTGGTGCAGTGGCTCACACCTGTAATCCTAGCACTTTGGAAGGCCGAGGAGGGTAGATCACCTGA